TTGCTGAGCTGGTTTTGACAAAGTAAAAAGGGCGTATTACACACTACCATTGAGAAATTCACCAAAGTATGTTAGACTTCATTAAGACCCTAAAGAACCATACCAACTTGTGGAAAATGGGCATCCGATGACCCCTTTAAGACCAACACAAATTTAATACTGCATAAAAGGGGAAGGGCAAAGAATATGGTAACGTTAAGAAAAAAAAAAAAATCTGGAGTCTTTGGAGACACACCGTCTCGCTAAATACTGAACATTTTTCAAAACTATTAAACCAAGATTTACACAAATCCTACACTTCTCTTGCATTAGTGTTAACCTGTGTTCTTGGTTTCATTTCTGGTAGCTTTATACTTCAGTTCAAGGATTTCCCACTACTTTTGCTGCCAAGCTCCCGGAGAAAGCACTTATAAAATAAATATCCACACAACACAAGTTTTGCTAAACTGATATTTATTTGGTGAATGTAGAAGACCTCAAATACGGTACGCAAAACAAAAACAAACCCCTCTCCCGATTGTTAAACTGGCATGGTTCGCTGCATGCATGCACGCACGGGTGGTCGGGCAACACTTCGGTCAGGCAGGACATCGATCATCATGGGAAGAGTTATCAGCACACATTTGGTCCGAGACATGGATCAAGCCTCACTGCATGGATACAGATAGTCAGACTTAGTCTGTCCATTTAGCGGCAAACAGCACAAAACACTCAAAGCATGAACCACAAGTTTTACTTTCACAGCAAGTTGTAGTGTGTGTTTTGGGAAATACCTTTAAATGGAAGTGTACATTCACGTCCACATTTAGTGCGGCAGCATTTCTCATTGTTCGGACAGTCAATGTCATTGACACACAACTCTTCACACAATCCTTCTCCAAAGAATCTCCTTGGACACATTCCTGGCTTTCCTGTTATACAAACACGCAACAGGAAAACCAGATCACTGACTGATTTAATCTGGTAAATGGGGGCGGGGGGAAACTTGACCAATGCATACTGATGTCCACATCCATTGCTGCAGCATTTCTCATCATTCGGACAGTCACGGTCATGAGAACACAATTCAGCACACACTCCTATTCCAAGGTTTTTGCTTGGACACACTCCTGGCTTTTCTTTTATACAAGCACAACAGGGAAACCAGATCACTGAATGATTCAATCTCTGTAATAGGGGGGGGAAAAAAAAGCTGACCCGCACACCAATATTACAAATACCTCTATATGGAGGCATACACTGTTGTCCACATCCTTTGCTGCAGCATTTCTCATCTTTTGGACAGTCACGGTCATGAGAACACCTCTCAACACACCCCCCTAAAAGTGCTACTTCAGGATTTTTTGGACACACGCCTGGCTTTTCTGGTTCTGCGGACACAAAAAAGAAAAAAAAAAACCCACACACACACTGAAAGCAAGCTGACCAGGGCTGGATTGGTAATCGGGTCTATATCGACTATATTAAAAAAAAAAAACGTAATTTATTTCTGTGATCAAAGCTAAATTTTCAGCATCATTACTCCAGTCTTCAGTGTCACAGAATCCTTCAGAAATCATTCTGATATGCCGATTTGCTGTTCAAGAAACACTACCACTACCACCAATTTAAAACAGAAATTACAGATTTATTAAAATTAAATTTAGCAAGGAGGCTTTAAATTGATTGAAAGTGATGATAAAGACATTGATAATGTTACAAAAGATCTATATTTCAGATAAATGCTGTTCATCTGAACTTTCTATTCATCAAAGAAACCTGAAAAAATTAAACTCGCACACCAATATTACAAATACCTCTATATGGAGGCATACACTGTTGTCCACATCCTTTGCTGCAGCATTTCTCATCTTTTGGACAGTCACGGTCATGAGAACACCTCTCAACACACCCCCCTAAAAGTGCTACTTCAGGATTTTTTGGACACACTCCTGGCTTTTCTGGTTCTGCGGACAAAAAAATAAAAAATAAAAAATAAAACATACACTGAAAGCAAGCTGACCAGGGCTGGATTGGTAATCGGGCATTTTCCCGGTGGGCCGACAAGGTTATTTTTTTTGCCAAGGACCATCGCGCAGGGACAGCGAGCAGCCCATTGGATTGTCTCCTGTATTGGCAGCGTAAACAATCCAATCATAATGCACTATAGACGGAGCGATGAAGTATTTCGCTCCACCTATATAAATATCGCTTCACTCCAACTTGTTCCTCGTTGGCTTCTCCCACGTTTTCACAGCAGATTTATCAAGAACAGGCTTGCTCTGCGGTGAGTAAGAGCAAAGAGCAAGGCAGGAGGAGGAGAACAGAGTAGTTGAATCGGTAAAGTGCTTGATAGGGACTCACAACGAAGGCAGGCATCTAACCCATCCTAATGTGTGCGCGCGCCATGTGTAGAACACAACCACTTTAATACGCAAATTCACCCCCCTTCACTTTTTTTGGCCAAGTCAAGTGTTCATAGAGGTTTCCATGGGCCAATGTGAATAAATCTAGATTTAAAACAAAAAACACTATATTGTCGGACCTGACATTTTATTCTTATCCAAAACAACTAGATGTGATATGAGTGTGATGCATACATACACTACCAGTCAAGTTTTTGAACTTGAATGTTTTTTTTTTGTTTTTTTTTTAAAGTCGGTGCTTCTCACCGAGTAAGAGCAAAGAGCAAGGCAGGAGGAGGAGAACAGAGTAGTTGAATCGGTAAAGTGCTTGATAGGGACTCACAACGAAGGCAGGCATCTAACCCATCCTAATGTGTGCGCGCGCCATGTGTAGAACACAACCACTTTAATACGCAAATTCACCCCCCTTCACTTTTTTTGGCCAAGTCAAGTGTTCATAGAGGTTTCCATGGGCCAATGTGAATAAATCTAGATTTAAAACAAAAAACACTATATTGTCGGACCTGACATTTTATTCTTATCCAAAACAACTAGATGTGATATGAGTGTGATGCATACATACACTACCAGTCAAGTTTTTGAACTTGAATGTTTTTTGTTTTTTTTTTAAAGTCGCTGCTTCTCACCAAGCCTGCATTTATTTGATCCAAAATACAGCAAAAGCAGTAATAGTGAATTCTTACCATTTAAAATAACTGCTTTCTATTTAAATATACATACATATTTATTTCTGTGATCAAAGCTACATTTGCAGCATCATTACTCCAGTGTCACAGGATCCATCAGAAATCATTCTAATATGCCGATTTGCTGTTCAAGAAACATTACTATTATTATTATTACTACTACTACTACTATCAATTTAACAGAAATTACAGATTTATT